GTATAAAAATGTCTGAAAGAAATTTTTATTATTTTTATATCATTCAAAATATGTCCAATATTCATGTAAACTAACTATGACAGCATAAAATTCGATATAATTTGTATAATTATTTAACAAATATTTAGCTCTGCGTCTTAAACAGACGCCCTACAACCGACTTTTCCTAACTTATAGCAATGGTAAATGCACAGTCCAGCCAGTTGGAATCCATACTATCGGAAGTGCACCAAGCAATATTGCCAACTATCTGCATTTGCCAGAACCATCACTTTATACGGGACATTGTTTTCGTCGCACGTCCGTCATTCTCTTTGTCAACACAGGCGGCAGTAAAGAAAATTTAATACGTCACGGAGCGCGGAAAAACGACACGATTGCAGAATCCTAAGTTGAAGAATCTGTGCTCAACAAAACGAAAATCGCAGACGATTTTAGGGAAAGGTCAAACTGAGAACATAATTATTACCAATGATTCTACTAGAGTTTTACAAATTGTTAACATAGATAATAATCCTAAAACATTTCCAATTAACTGAAACTCCTTCGACTTCAGGAATTAATTTTTATAATGCGTTACGGTGTACATTGACGTTTAATACCTATTTAACAAAAAAATAAGTAGTTTCTTTTTTGTATTTGTTGTTATTTTTCTATTTACTTTGTCATGATAAAGTGTGATAAGTTATATGTTTATTTTTTTTAATTATAAATTTTTACGAATGGCGATAATATTTTGTATGCACCACGTCAGTAAAGTGTCTTTGCCGAACTCACCTGTTACTCGCCTCGCTCGCTTCGCTCGCTCGGCTCATAATATCAGGCTCGTTCAATAAAGAGTCACTTTACTGACTATTATCACATTAAATTGGTTAATACATTTTACTTATGCTGTATTTTATTGTAAAACATCATAATACAGACAATATGTTTTATTTACATAAGTGTGTTATTTGGGATCGTTTCATCCGCGATGATGATCCAAAGTAACTCATGTCTATTACATATACCTTAAGCGCACTATGGACGCATTTTCAGCGAAATGAAAATCAATAGAAAAATATATACCAAAAATTTATACACGTCTCCCTTTCTTTTGATGAATTGCAATGTAAAACAATTTTGCACCCAAACAGTGTGTTAACAGACATCATACTTATACACTCCTTGTTCTATAATCAGTTTCAAATATATAAATATTTCTCATTTCCTCTACTTCTCCTTTTCTATTTTGATTCCATCATATATCTGTGAAGTGGGACGCTCTATAAAGATATAGTAAATAAATAAATTACGTTGCCGCTGTTAATTCAGCTGGGATTATTGCAATAAATGTTGTAACACCTTATTTGACAAGACCATGGCGCGGATAATAAAATATTGTTTACACTCTACGCCTTGGTAGAGTTCACAAATTGTGCTAACCTACAGAAATTATTACACTGGATTTGATCTGCTATTTTGAGGAAGTAGCTTTTCAAATTTATATGGACACATTCTTTTTCAAAAATGATTCTCACATAAAGCAAAAATTATACAGGATGTCTCAACGTGAACCGACAAGATCTAATCTCAAGGGAAATTATATCTACAATCAAAGTTCCATATAGGTATTCCTGCACTATCAGAAAAATTAAGGAAAATGGAAGGAATTTAATATTAGAACAGTTTTTCAGACAACTAATAGTTTACCGACTTTATTATCAATGACGCGCTCAAATAATGATTTTCGGAATTAAAAAAAATAGCATTTGTAGGATATCTTGTCAATGCAATAAACATTAATCTGAGTGAGATTTCTCGACCGATTAATATTAGAAGAGCCGAACATAAAAATTTCATTAAAACATGAAAATTTGAGAAATCAGAAAGTAATTGCGCTTGGGAAAACGGTCATATATGGGGTTTTGCTAAAACTTTGGAAAAGGAAAATAATAGCATTAAAAGCAAATTAGAAGAGACCGCGATTATTTTGTTGAATGATAAAAGATTTGTTTCAAATTATTTTGTGACCTTGGATCCTTGCTGGCTACACATTTTCAAAGATGAGGTAATAATAGAATAAACATAATATTATAACTCTAACTATGGAAATATTCAAAAGCAAACAAATTTAAACTGTCAAAAGTGACTAAAACGAAGTCACTATAAGTTCAGAAAACTAAAACAGATCGACTTCTGAAATAACTTTTAAAGTGTACGATGTATAGATACGTGCTTTTTGTATATTGCATTTGTCTACTTTTTTCGGTGCAAAATTTTTGGTTAAACAAAACTGTTTTCATAAATATAACCCTTGACTGACTCCTTTCGGTTCAAGGGTTCATTTCACAAATTTCTCACTCTTGAGATTCTTACCTCAAAATAAGACAAATAATTCCTTTTAACAGGGTTCATTCTTATTAATTGAATTAAGAAAAAGGAATGATATTGACATACCTATACCTCATTCACGTATATAATAAAATGACGAAGCAAAATTTAAAAAATATCAAGACGTTACTATTGCTCATTTAATTGTTTACACAACTGTGTTATTAAAAAACATATAACCCACACAGCACATGACGTCCCTGGGATATCCTCATTTAGTCCTATATATCCTAATCGGGGATCTCACTTTTCAGGATATCCTGATGATATTTAAATAAGACAAGTAGATCCTATCAATATCCTAATTGGGGATATCCCAGGTAAATCCAAACAGGATGTCCTGGAAATATCCTATGAAGATATTAAAAGCCGAATAATCTCCAATTTTGGGATATCCTAGGCAAATTCTAGAGTGATCCCATCCTGGGATGGTTCTTGGCTTTGCACAGTGCATGGTGCATGCGCAGTATGACATATTGACGACATGACCCGTATCTCGCCATTTTCTGTGTTTCTTTGTTTTATAAGTGCGTGACTCAATGACGTTTTTATTAATTTGAAAAGTGGAAAATGAAATTTAAAGCTTGTTAAAATAGTTAAGTGACGTGCATCAACCACCTGCTGGCAGAAGTAAGTATTTAAATTACCTTTGGTATTAAGGTATTAATATCATAGAATAAACATATAGGTTAGAATCGTATATAGTATTAACTAATTTTGTTCTTACTGTTTGTATCATGCAATAATTATATAATGCCTAAAGAACGCATTAAAAAAACATGTTTTCAAATATTTTTTATATAGAGCCTAATACCATTCAAAAATTAGAATAGTTTTTATCACTATTTGTAATAGATGTGTATAAGTGGTATCACCAAATCTACATAATATGTTCAAATCTATAATTTTTAGTTTTGAATGTGTTGTATATAGGTGTTCTGACAAAGGATTGTATCCCATAAATTTAATTAATTTATTATAGTTCTCTGTCTGTAATATTTGTACCAACATTGTGAGTTATAAGGATTACATTATAAATCGTAGGCAGAATTACGTATTATCTATTAGAATATTAGAATTAAATTTAATATCAACAGATTATAATCCATAGTTCATGAAATTAGAATAGTCTCGTTAAATGTATTTAATGAAAATTTTTGTTTTGTCACTCGTCTACAATGTAAATGTATTATTAACATACTTTTTCTACAAATTTACAGCTGGAATTTCACAAGCACATTGCACAAAAAATTGCCCAGAAAAAGATAATGGGGAGGGCATTAAAACATGTCGCGG